CCCGCCGTTCCTATTTGAAGCTTTCTTGGCTTTCTCATTTGCTTTCTGAAAGAATGGCTTTCTCATTTGCTTTCAAGGACATTTTTCTTACCAAGCTTCTCTTCAGCTTTCTGATTTTCCGTTCTCGACTTCTATTCCGACGCCCTGCCATCCATTCTCTCAAAACTTTCTTTTTTTCTATTTCCCCGGGTAAATTACTAACATCGTTTTCGAATGATTTCTGGCATACAACCTTACATTTACTCAATCCCGAAGAGCAATGGGCTGTAAATTTTCCTTTTCAACCTTTTCCTTCCCATTTTGACTGGATTATGGTAATTGCAGTGAACTCACAAGTAGAAATCTCAATGCAACCCCCTTGCAGTGGCAGACATTTCGCTTCTATTGGTTCTCCCAACTGAGACTGGATTTTTTTCAGGTTATTTCATTGTTACGGGATGCAGCTGGACGGGTCGAAGGCGAACCGGCACAATTGGTTAAAGATGCCGTCAAGGTGGGTGTTCAGAAACAGGCTCAGTTGCAGTAGTACAGTCAACCAAACAGCCAGCCTTCAGGTTCTGTCTTCGCATGAACTCTATGCTCCATCAATTACTCGTTTTCGTGATACTGACCGTATTGCTACACAGTATTATGATGGATTAATTCGTCTTCATCATCCAAGTCGACAACGAAAACGAAGTGTCGTCGATGCGTACCGCGACAAAAGAGGTTACTTTACATTCTTGCTATCAGCTATACTTCATTCACGAACAGCCCTGACAAAGTGATCGTAACCGAACTGTTTCACAAAATGGAATCTTAAATCTAATCTTACTAGAACAACCAATCCTCTCCCGACCTCTTCTCGGTGATTCGAATTCATCTGGGTGAAGTAGAGTCCTAAATCTAGCAAGCCGAAACAGGTCTAGGTGAGCTAGGCATTCAAATGTCGAAATGTGGAAAGAAAGTTGGATCCATGGCACATCCTAAATGAATAAGTTGCTCTCTTTTATCCTTACTGGGTCACCCACTCAATCAGATCTTTTTTCAGATCATTTCAGTTCAGTCGCATTTTTGTAGCCCTCAGACACAATGGCAAAGGTAGCGTGGGGACTAAGGTGCGCTAGGACTTGAAGCGTCCCTAGTCTGCGAAATATTACTTCATTAGAACGATCCCTTATTAATAAAGCACCTGTCCGGTGGCATAGGAAATTGAGATGAACAAGACTGCCTGCAGTAGTTGTCATAGGTCAGTACTAATCAAGTTCCTGTACGATTCAGAAGAAATTATGGGCGTGGCTTATCCTAGGGCATTCGGTGGGGGTCAACAGATTCCAATTTTTTTCGAATGTTTTGACTATACTGTTTGCTCATCGTTCTTTTCATCTTTGAAAACTGCGGAGAAATTACGGTTTAAGGATCCCACGGGGAACGACGGCGGGTATCAGCAGATGTGAAAAACGCTCTTGAGAATGACTCCGATTGGACGTTTGACATATTGCAACTGGAGAAAGTCACAGAGAATCATGCTCTTTATCAGCTTGGTATCAAGGTATGATTTCTGTCGAAAACAGCAACCACAAAACCCATTTGGATGTCTCGCTGAAGGTTCACTGACCAGACCACTCGTGAGAACTACTTGGCTAGCCTTTAGGGCAACTGGGGCACAAGTACTGCCCATGATAATTCGCTAGATTGCTCTGACTTGTGTTGTGCTATCCCTAAGGAATCCTGAAACTTTACAACTTGTTTTGTGTCCCTGGCTACTGTAATGGTACAATGGAGGTGCTACTAGCATGGCTAAACAAACTATCGAGGGCTATGTAGTATTCTACTAGTGTCTCACCCCGCCGTTCGCTTGGCTAGCCCTATCTCTTTAGAAGGAAGTGATTGACGCTACTTATGGCTGACTTTGTATGTCTATGGACAAACGGTAATCCTCAAATAGATCTGCTTCGAGCCGTACCAACGAATCTATGGTCATCAATCTGCCCAACCATTTACTTTAATTCCTTTTTGTTACTATAACAGTCCTCTCATAACCTGGGTCTTTATTTCTTCATGCTTCCGTAGAATACCGAATGGAAGGGTTGAGCTGAGGCGTGGGGAAGCCGGGAGTTCTCGCATTCAGGTACTGGAACGTAACAACTGCAGCTAGTGCACCGCTTAAAAACTGGGCGCCTGGGCACAGTTTCAACGCTCCTCCATATGCCTTCTTGGAGCAATCCTTAGCGAGCTGACGTAACAGAAGGCTCATTCCCTCTCCTTCCTCAAAAAAAACCTGTCATTCAGAGATCCCACCAATATCAGGTGCATAGGTAAGAGATGAAGTGAAGAAGAGATTCGAAAGAAGATTAGTTATGGAATCTGGTGATTATCAATTGGGAGTTCAGATATTCGAGCGATGGAAAGTAGCCGATTCACTGAGCTGCAACGAGGATATACTTCATCGTTGGCTGTTCACCGTAGAAGCACATTATCATGCCGGAAATGCCTACCATAATGCTACCCATGCAGCCGATGTTCTTCAGGTGGATTTCCAGAAGATTAATGACAATCACCACGAGCCAATATAGGGATGAGACCAATAATTATTTCAGGCTACATCATATTTCCTCGACTCGCCTACAGTTGCTGGACATATCACAGAGAATCATGCTATCGCTGCTCTTCTAGCTGCCACCGTCCATGATCTGGATCATCCAGGTGACGTGAATATTTGCATTTTTCCACGGCTCTACAAAAAAAAGCCATGCAATCGCCGTCAGCACGTTATGAATATCTCATGGGTTGCATGAATCATAAAGGAAAAAGGAATGACGTGATGTCTATAGGAAAACGGCAGGATTGCACAGATTGCGATTCATCAACACAATTCATTTCACGTCTTCAGCGCTGAAATACCATGCGTCAAATAGCAAAAAACTCGCTTATTGATATCTCCCAATATTGGAGAATCACCTTTAATTTTAGGTCGGGGTAACGCGTTTCTCATCAACACCCGACAATCGTTGGCAGTTCTTTATAATGATCATTCGGTATTGGAAAATCACCATGTTGCCTTAGCATTTCAGCTAACCCTACAGCAGAGTAATAATGTGAGTTTAGAAGGACGTTCATAAAAGGAAACTTATCGGCGAGCGTATGCGGTGCGCGCAGGATGACGTCATAGAGTTGCCGCGCTGTGATTGGAAGCTAGTATTCTCTATTTATGCTGAATCATTTACAGTTAGAAGGGCTAAACATAATTTTATCTTGGCAACTTATTGATTAGCTGAATTGGAGTTGAAAAGATTTTCACCTAAAAAATGGCAGTATGCCAACAAAATTTTCGCCTGATAGTCCCTCTGACGTCATCCTGTTGTACTGAGTGCGCCTACCGACGAGTTTCTCGTTCAGGGGTATACTGTAATCGGAGGTACTGTAAACAATATTGTTTAGGTAAACATTTTTGGTAATCTATCTAGAGAGGAATTTACTGCGATTCGACACGCGATGGTTGAGATGGTATTGGCGACGGATATCAGTCGACATTTTGAGTATCTTGTCAAATTCAACAAGGTCAGCAAAGCTGTGGTACGGTTTATATTAGGAATTCTAAAGGTATTTTCTTCAAAGAACACATCAATTATGATTGTCAGTTAAGACTATCTGGAGATTTTGAAAAACGCTGGGCCTATACTATATAGCGCAAGGTCTCATTGACGCCAAGACGGTCCTTTTCCCCTCAGACATGATCGATGTGAAAAAGCCGAGAAATTGGTATATGGGCGAAAGCCCAACGTTAGAGACCGATTTCCCCTACAAGGCAGTTGTATTATACCGTATCCAACCACTACAGTATCTCCGTCAAAAGTGATATCTATGGAATTCGGAATTTTGGGTAAGACAGTTTGAGAAGCGCTTGGGCTCAAGAAGGCTCGTGTAGTTACGGTTTCTTGAATCGCAAAGTTCATAGAGGGAATACCCTGCAGTAAGTTTGGATGGAACTCCAGTTTCCGTTTTATGGGCTTTCCTGAGACATGTAAATGAACAGTTCTATCTCCAAGCCTCCAAGATAGCCTTCGGGTAACTCGCAACCGAAGTTTCCAAGTCCTACAGAGGCACTATGTTATTCCAATGTTGAATTTTCTTTTACTCATTTTCCAATTTTTTTCCATCGCCATTGCCCTACTGATATTGATATCGTAAATTTAACATTTTTCTATAAGAGACTCTAACAATGAAGGGGTTTGCTTTAGATGAACGTCGTTGATGTACCAGAAGAAGCTCGTGAAGATAACTCCTTAACGATTTGTAATATGCTAGTGAAATGTGCCGATATCTCAAATCCGACCAGAGAATGGGCACTTTGCCAGAAATGGGCTTATCGAATCGTAGAAGAGTATTTCGATCAGGTAAGGTTCAATAGAGAAAAATCTAAAGAAACCCGAAATGAATGCTGATTGAACGAATTCCAGTAGGATTCTGTAGTGAGCCCTGATTTAGGATACTTTTTAATGCGCACAAACTAGTTCTCACTTCATTATAAAGTTAAAGGATAAAGTTTTCGGCGTTAATCAATCTCGTCTGACCCCGCGCTCGACTTCCATTCAGAATCGTAGTGGCGTAATGAGTGCGTATGTGGCCTATACAATGACTTGCGGAGGCCAGCCGATGTACAAGTCAGTACTTTTATCCTCCCAGGCGGTCTGGTACCAATTATTAGACCCCGGAGGGATGCGAGAATTTATTATTGATAATGTGTACGTTGTGTGTGAAAAATCGTGTTTAATGAGTCAGTTTGAGCATACAAGAGACAGGCAGAATAAGCGTTCTGACTGGCGTTCTCTGAGTGAAATGAAGGCATTCCATTTGAAGCAGGCCTAGTGTATCAGTTGTATCACAGTGATCACTGCAATATCCGAAAGCAAGGCTCATTCTCTATCAGTGCATACGGCGATAGACTCCCTTCCCTGGCTGCAACTCTCAATATTTTACTCTGTAGATTATCAAAATAAAATACAGTTGGTAAAGTAACGGACTTTGACATTAATAGATCCTGTTTCTGGGATGCACCCATCATTTGACTCCCATTCAGAGTCGTAGGGGCGTTTTTGAAGGCGTATGTAGCTTTTACGATGATCAGGATGACCTGCTTAATGTACGAAGCCGTGCTTTTACCCTCCCAGACGAGTCTGGTATCTCTAGGGAAGGAAACCCTCGTTCGTGAAGTATGGGAAGCGCAGACCGTGTTTCATATTACCTCAACGTTCAATGCTTCCGTTTCGGTTAGCTGAATCGAGTTGAGCTCCTACATCGCGTTGACTGTTGGGAAATGGGCCGTTTTTCGCAAAGTAAATTTTGTCGTAATCGCCAAACATTCCGTCTTCAAAAATTAAACTTTCTCTGTTTGAAGTTCCTTTAATTTCCCCCATACGTTACACGTGACGCGATTATCGCGATAAAAAGAATGTTTGGGAATGACGACAAAATTGTCTTTCAGCAGATGGGCAAACACATGGATTGCAGGAAAGGGTGCAGTGTGTATCCTGTGCTCTCTCCAAGCCCCACACCCATGGCTATCTTTTCAAGGGTAGACCCCAAGACAGAGTTGTCGCACAGAATCAAGAACTGTTGATGCATTGGAAACGAAAATCGGACGATACTGTCGCGATATTCTGACTGTACTGTAACCTGCCGTCTGTGACGCCATTGGTGCGCGTTATCGGCTTTGTCTGGGCACTGATTTGAATATTTGCAAACGTGATTAGTTCCATACATCTCTTCCGTAATTCGAGTATCGAAACTTGTTTTTGTATGCCTACGTCTCCACGTTTTTATAGCCATTCCAATAGTTAGTACATTTTTTGAGACTCCTTCCAGGAGAAATTAAGAAATGTAGTCAGAATGGGGAGCCTCTTGCAATAAGTACTGATAAAGAGTAATGGGTGCGGTGCAGTAGGAACGAAATTGTCGCGTTGCGGCGAGAAAAGTCGCGCGCGAAGGAATGTGGCAGAGTGCAGCAGCAAGTAAGAAATACAGAAACAAAAGAACTAATAGTAGAATCATACCAATAGTAACAATCGTATAGTGATTGAGCTGTATGAAGAGCGCTAGAACTGTTATGGTGAGGCAAATGGTCCGCGACAGCCGCGTGCGGCGGATCGGTTACACGAAACCGTTCCTACTGCCCGTCTCCCAAGAGTAATTGCCAAATATTGTAATGAACGATCCCATCCGATTAATACACCTGGCTTACTTCAAAGTTACAGTAGGCACTTTGCTCATAAATTGCCAATCAGCTAGGTGATTCTGCTTACCTTCCAAATTACCGTATATACTGAGGGTTCCGTTAATTGGATATGTCGACCTTGCAAGTGACCTTACAAGTGACAGTGTATGGGCTGCGATTCTTGAGGTTTTGGGCATTATAAGGTAGAAAAGTGGGCAACTCAACACGCATGTACTTATAAATAAAGGGATGAAGCCTACGAGCGTTGTTCAATCCCGTCTGAGGAATGCGCCACGCATCCGACTCCCATTCAGAGCCGTAGTGAAGTGGCTTGCGGTGGCCAGCCGATTTATAATACAAGTCGTGCTTTCATCCTCCTCAGAAAATTAGCGAGCCTGAAGGGATAGGTTACCGATCCAGAATTGGAATCCGTGGCCATGTGTGTGTGATAGTATGCCACTTGCCACTACACCACCTCTGTCTCTTTGTTACCTATCAAATCAGTTTAGGAAGAAGAGGGTGTAGTGGCAAATGGCGCACTTCACACATTTATGGTCACTAGTTCGAATCCCGGACCGATATACGCCCAGGCCAACCAAGCCTTCAATCCCTCCATGGTCGGTTAATCGGGAACAGACTCGTCTGGGAGGATAAAAGCACTGACTTGTACATTGGCTGGCCACCGCAAGTCATTGTATAGGCCACATATGCATTCAATCGCCGCTACGATTCTGAATAGAAGTCGAATGCGTGGGCACATCTCTTAGAAGGGATTGAACAACGCCCCAAGACTTTATCCTTTGTTAAATCAGTTCTTGACGTTATATAAACTCAAATAACGACGCTTGGTTTAAGGAGCAGATCATTTGTTTTTCGCTGTCTAGAAACCTCATTACGCCGTTTCCCTAGTATGCACTGAGGCTTGAGAAGTTTGAAACCTGCAAATGTAGTATGATAGCCTTAAGGACGCCAATTACAACCTAATTGTGGCGGATACTCGTTCTGCGAGGGAAAAACTCACAGGGACTGCTATGAAATGAAGCAAATCACAGGGACGTCCCTTACTATGACCCGGTTTTGAAGTTAGGAGTTTTCACAGTTTCTTGGCTGAAGTGCTTACGTTTTCTTTAAGTTTTTATATTAGAAACTTGTCTCTAAAATGAACGGGAAGATGCCAAATGATTGCTTTTCCTGATCTGAATGAATTTGATTCTCCCAGTTGCACTAGCGCACTTCTTACCCAGTGCACTCCCCTTCCTTGATTCTATGGTTTTCCAAATACGAAGTGGTCTTTTCAGACACGAGAAGAACGTGAAAAAGGCTTACCGGTGACGATGGAAGTGTTCGATCGAAAGACGTGTAACGTACCACTTACTCAGTGTGGATTTATTGGTGAGTGATTAATTTAATGACTTTGGCCGAAGAATTCATGGGACCTTTCTCTTTAGAGCTCCCGCGTGACTTTCATTTGGGTAAAGTGGAATCTGAATCGGACTAAATCGGTCGCAAGAATTAAGTTTTCCTAATCCATATCCTACAGCACGTTTTGTCTCGATCCCACAGTCCTATAGTAAACGTGTGACCTCAAATCCGAGTTTTAGTGGCGTTTTTTGCATTCGAATATATGCAAAGGGTACTTATGTAGGTAAAACATCAAAGACGAAGAGTTTTACAGTTTCATCATCGGTAGGGGCATGGGTAAATCACTTTCCACACGGTCGTGCGTTACTATCGATTATCGTAAAGCTGCTCTGTGAAGTACTGACTACTATATCATGCTGTCCCTATTAAGTAGTAGTTGCAAAATGAATCCCATGTGTTTCATCCCTGCGTTTCTCCTGGCCCACCCGTGAAAGGATATCCATCGAGGTTAGAAACAGTATGAGCAGCTGCCGAAATCTTCGCCTAAGACTGGGCGTAAGCCTTCTACGCAATTGTTTGTTTCGATAGAAATAGTGGGTCATGGATAGGGGTAGATTGAAAGCCTTCATGAACGGAGTTATGCCGTGGTTAGAGGGGTTACGGAACTTCCCCTCGAATTCCCACTTCCTGTGACAATGGTCCCACGGCGACTGTTCGTATCCTTCCCATGGGAGTTTGAATCTTACCCTTCACAATGCGCGGTCGTGTGCGGGGGGCACGACACGCCGTTCGAGGAGATGACACTAGACCCTGGCTAGAGCTGTCAATGGCAGAGCAAGGCCACTTGGGAAAGCGCGACCACTGCGCCATGCAGGGCTATTGCTATAATGTTCGAAGTGGTAAGTTGCAGAAAATGAGCTTTGTTGTTTTCAGATATGTTTGTACGTGAGGCGTACGTAAACTTTTCGGAGTTTGCCAATCTCGGCCATCTGTCAACTCAGCTCGAAGCCAATTACGAGCAATGGAAAGGGTTGAGCTCGTCATGGACACCTGCCAATAACTCGACATTGCTCATGTGAAGAGCATTATTCGAGTAGGCACATACATTGCCAAACGTCCACACGGCTAATCTTGAATCGCTGCCAAAACACCCAACTAACAGCTCATTGCTCCTCTTTCGTTTAGGTAACTGTGACTTACTATGTCGTGTCTAGTTCTTTTTAGTAGCCACCACCTCATTCAGCCACCCGTCGACTACCCCACACCTTCGAATTTGTCGTTCATTTCTTGCTCTCACTTCGGCTGTAATGTCATCATTTCGATGCTCTTTCTCCTTTTTTCCCCGGAATGTGCTAATTTCCGCATTGGAGTATTTTTATCGTTTGGTTTTTCATTCAGGTTGTTTGTATAGTTGTTTTCATCTTTTTTGTGTTCCTATTTGTAGCTTTATATTGCCTTGATAGCTTTGAGTTTCCCGTGATGCAATATCAACGATGCTTTTATCAATTCATTTAATTGGCTTTACGATACCAGACCTTCCTCATCATCGTTATCGTTACCTAGTCGTCTACAGCTTATTTCCATGAAGTTTTCTATCACTGCCCTTGCTGCTGCTTTACTTTTTGACTAGTCGTCTCTCGCCCGCTCGTCCGTCCCAGTTCTGGTCATTCACTACATATATTGTAGTCATTGTACCGTATAGTTACAGTATAGACTTGCCAGTGAGGTATTCGTAAAAAAATTTATGATCTTTTTGACCAGATGTCCTTAATATATATTGTATGTGAAATACTGCATTTGTATCGGTTTTCCAATCATATCGGTTCGGCAAAGGGCGGAGCTCCGCACACTTTACATGCAGAGCGCCCCGCCCATTTTGGCAACCGATATGCTGGACACTACGAGCTATCCTCTTTTTTGCTCATTCGTCACATTATCGATCATTTTCTTGCCATTATCTCTTGCGAAAGAGAATATACGTTTTCTTCTTAAGTCTCTTTCTAGATTCTCGATGAATTTTTATCTATAAATATTATCGATTTCTATTTTATGTCAGAAACAGTGGAGTCAGTGAATCGATACTTTGATCTTCAAGAAAACCTGAAAGTTGTAATACTTAAAACTTGTGGTGCGAGCACAGTCTCAAGTGAAAGCAACCGATGAGAGTTTGGGCTTTATAAAGGTAGGTGAACGAAGGAGACGTTCAACTACTTCGCGATGTAGGTGGCATAGAAGGTAGTCGATCAAATTATGCAATGGCCAGGTCCATTTTTTCGATTCCGCTCTTCCATTTTTGATGAGCATACCACAGACCATAAAGGTAATGTCTTGGGACGTTAATCAATCCTGTCTGAGGGACGCGCTCACGCATTCGAATGCGTATGTGGTCTATAAAATGACTTGTGCTGGCCAGCCGATGTACAAGTCAGTGCTTTTATCCTCCCAGACGAGTCTGGTACCAATTCACCGACCCCNTATGTCGTGTCTAGTTCTTTTTAGCAGCCACCACCTCAGTCAGCCACCCGTCGACTACCCCACCTTCGAATTTGTCGTTCATTTCTTGCTCTCACTTCGGCTGTAATGTCATCATTTCGATGCTNATACCACAGACCATAAAGGTAATGTCTTGGGACGTTAATCAATCCTGTCTGAGGGACGCGCTCACGCATTCGAATGCGTATGTGGTCTATAAAATGACTTGTGCTGGCCAGCCGATGTACAAGTCAGTGCTTTTATCCTCCCAGACGAGTCTGGTACCAATTCACCGACCCCTGAGGGATGGAGGGCTTGGTTGGCTAGGCGGGCATCGATCCGAGATTCGAATCCGTGACCATGCGTGTGCGAATTGCGGCACTTGTCACACCACCTCGGCCCCGGCCCACCAGACCTACGAATCTCCTTCACTGAGGGTTCTCTCTCACTGAAGGATCCCAGCCGGTTAGCCACGAGGCTACGTAAGGCGTCCTTGGGTGGCGGATAGGGGAATTAGTCGCCGACCAAATGTCGCCAGTACTTGCTCAGAGGCGAAAGCTCTGAACGAAAGGAATGTTGGACCTCGGTCCCCAAAGCGAGGACGTTTCACTGGACCACTCATGCTCGTGACAGGGACGAATGGAGACGTAAATGGCGCCCGCTCGAAGAAGTCGATGATCAACGGGACGACAGGTGATACAGATGAATCCACAGAACTGGCCTGTATAGGGAATGGTAGATGAATCTGACAATAAGAATTGTGACTGACTTGTCCATTCTATTGGTCTGCGCTTTGATGGAATCGGCTTCATTGTCGTTGCACACCTGCTCAAAGCTAGGGAAAGGAGCTAATCGAGGGGCCTAGTAAAAATAGGCCTTTCAGGTAACTACGGTGCATTCTTATTGGGGGGGCTCGAGTTCGAAGAGGAAGGAATGCGGTCACGTTGGAGCCCCAAAGATGAGGTGACGGGACGTGATAAGAGAGACTTCGTCGAAACGAAGTTAAAGGCACAAAATATCGCAGGTAGAAAGAAATGGAGATGACCACTAACTAGGGACGACATCTTATGCTCGTAAAAACTACATACAGATGTTGTACCATTCGGAACCCAAACCCTGCACACAGGCAGCTTACTGCAGCCTACTGTACGTGACGGCACACACATTTGGACAGCTCGTCCAAATACGCCTTCCATGCAGCTTCTGTCATCACCTCGTCCAATTCCTAATTTTCTAGTTTTTTTTTAGGCTTTACACATATTTCTTTGGATATGGCGATTTTCGCGTCTTCTTCGCCCATTTTGCACTCTTCTGAACTATCGCTTCAATTATTCGTCCAAAACTAACTACTACGAAATTATAATATTATGAACTGTGGCTTCTAAATGTGGGAGTGCGCAACGTAACGTACCTTACATATGAATTATTTCTGCATGATATGAAAGGCTGATTACGTCGTTAGGAGTCTGTAGCCGCAAAACACTGTCGAACATCCACTGCATGCGTGCGCGCGCGACCGTGAGAATTCGGACATAAGTTATGTAACTCTTGAAGGCTCAGCATAGGGTAAGGGGGTTAAGAGGGACACTAGAATTCCTTTAGTAAGGTCCTAGTGAGTCTTCGTCGTTAACGAAACTGAATGAGGGTTTACCTCGTGAAAAAACCGTGAAAAAATTGTGGTAAAACTGGAGCTGCATAAAAAAAAGCCAGTTAACAAGGCAAACAGGAGCCGTTATGGATTGATGGGCTGTCAAAAAGTGGCAACATCTCTCAACACCGAATTGGACTCACTTATCAGAAAGCCTACTGCGTGGTTCTTAAAATCCCTTTGGTTTTTCACTGTGGATTGGTCGACGTTACCTTTTTTCATTTCTCACTTACACTTGTGTATCGTACGTATAACTTCCTTTCAAATCCCTCTTTCAATGGTGTAGGTGTTACAACTCGGACATATTTGCATTTTTGAAGCTTGTACTGAGGAGAAATACAAATAGAAATGATAGGAAGCCAGTAATCCCTCACCCTCCACCATTGTCTGGCGCGCTCCAACTCCACAACCGGCAATTAAAGGAACGGGTGGCGGTCCCTGTGTGGAAACAACAGTAGCAGCCGAAGAGCTTCTTTTTACATTTCCTAAATTTATTTTTCAAAAGATTATTTTTTTAGTTTAAAATTGTTTTCATGTTCTTCCCGTTTGCGCTGTGTCTTGCATCATTCATTAAGTCGAGACTTATGAGGTTTTCTTCGGTCACTTTGGAGGATGATGTGGGGTGTGATGACAGGATCCTATGTGACTGCTGACGGAGACTGATAAGCACTGATAATGGCTGATAAGGAACCATGGCATCGCTGCTGGAGCTGAAGTCGCCAAAAAAGTCTCTACTGATGCAGTGGCAATAGGCAGATACCTCATTTGACTGGAGTGTCAATGGTCAAACTTCAAGACATCGACGTAAGACCAGCTCAGCCTAATTGGAAGCGATGGAAAATTTCTAGAGCTAGTACTGCCTTAACAAGGGTTCTTTGAATAGAACATTGGGTCCAGTTTGTAGGGGGAACACAGTTCTGGTGCTGTGGTTTTGAGCCACCCTTTGGGGATGGGTTGATGGTCTTAGACCAGGCGGAGCTCGATAAAAGCTAAAACATCCAATGGCCCTGCCTCTCCCTATCGAATCGAATCGAAAAGAAATCAGAAACTTTTCCACAGGCCAATATAACAAGAAGGGCTCTACTGTGAACTTATTGATTGATGGGCTGCCAAAAAGTAGCAACATCTCTCAACACCAAATTATACGTTCACATCAAAAAAAGCAGAGTCCTACTGCGTGGTTTTTCAAAGTTCCTCGGGTTTCCATCAAGGAGGATCAGTCGACTCTACCCTTTTTCATTTCTCACTACACCTGTGCATCGTATCGTACATAACTTCCAGATCCCTTTTCTAATAGTATAGGTGTTACCCCTACCCTAGTGTCTGGCGCGCTCCAACACACGACTGGCAATTAAAGGAACTGTGGCGGGACCTGTGCGGAATGGAAACTGTGGCAGTCGTGCCGCAGTACTTCCTTTTTTAATTTCCTAAATTAGATTTTTGAAAGATTATCTTTCTGGTTTTGAAAGTTTATTTTTCTAGTTCGAGGTGGTTAGCACATTCTCATTGATTTATGTACCATACTTGGGAAGATCTTACCAATCTGTTTTTCAGTTGCATATCGTTAAGCTTAAGGTTGCCAAAAGTTCTCCGCTTGGTTTATTGGTAGAATTATAGTTGCGTAATATTAGATTGGATGGTATCGAAGAATGAAAATGACTTTTTTTTTCAAGGAGATGACTACCACAACTACGTAGAAGAGATTGTGCGAAAGGATACTGCAACCATCGTATTCGACATGGAACGACCGGCAGCTCTTGATAGTTCTCCGGATTAATGCTACCCGAGCCCTGAAAGACAGTTGGATAGGATAGCAAGCCAGGCAGGGTATGAGCTTATTCATTTTATACTTGTCTCCTTTCTTTTTATCGACTTTGACTGGTGGAGTTTGTAGTTAGAGAGGCTAGCGCATAAACCCTGAAGAGTTGGAGGGCAAGATTACGAGGCAGCAATCTGGTT